TTGAAATAAATGTATGATTACCATTAAAATATTATAAAATTCTTTACAATCTCATATATTTATACATATAGTCTCCTGTGCCCACCTTCCAATTAACCTGTTTCATCGAACCAATATGCATAGACCATTGTCAGCACTTACTTTCACTATGGGTACGAGAACATATTCCAGAATAGTTTATTAAGGGAGAAAGGAAAGTTGTTCTTGAAAATTTAGTATTGAAATAGCTATCATAAAGCTTTTTGAATAGTCCTTCAAAATTTAATTATCTCTAATAATCGAAATTACCGATATGTTGAATTTTGATTGAGATCGTGGATCGATCAATGTTAGACCACCACTAAAAACCTAAAGACACTGGACGGCTGTTTCGTCCTAGTATGATAATTATCATCAATGTACTCACCAGTGACTAGCTTTGAGTGGTAATCCCCGGACTTTTGTTGAGAAGCCGTGAATAGTGGAGTTAAACCGTGTCCAGCACTTACCTAACGAAAACAATGGAAAATGGTCGCACAATATCGTGGATTGGCTGAAGTTAGATATTAACACCATTGGATGCCGACCGGCTCAATGGTTTAAATGTTGAGCGTTCGCACGCGAGGTCAAAAATCCTATGTTCGAGTCCCATGTGCGAGATTGTGGACTCATGCTGTTGACGAGTTCCATACTAAGACAGAGTGACCGTCCATTGCTTTCTAGGTTTTCAATGGTGGTCTAACACGGATCAATTATTGATCTCAATCAGAACTCAACAATTCCCACAACTCTATACTTATATGTTGATCTTAACATTTTCTATAAGATTCGACAGAATCTACAGAGATTTCTTTGTATTTAGTTACTCAAGAGCTCTTTTCATCTATGAAATCAAATAAAAACATTGTGTTCAACAGATATACATCTTTCACTGGTTGAAATCATGAGTCAATTGAAGATAGACCACCATCGAAAACCTGGAAGCACTGGACGGCCGTTTCGTCCTAGTATAGGACTCCTCATCAGTGCGCATCCATGATCCCGCCCCCAGCGAGATTCGAACCCATGACCTATCAGTCTTGCGCCACGCACCTAACCAACTAGACCATGGTGGTCTAGCTTCATTTGACTCATGATTTCAACCAGTGAAATTTCTAAAAATCTCCACAAAACCTATTCAGATATACATATTGTTTGTTTATCATTATCATGACCTTAAACTATCATCATTAATTTACTTCCATTTCATTCCATTGATTTTACATTAAAAAAATATCCCTCCCCCTTCCTACTTTTTGATAATTATTTCTCATGTTACCATGATTTTATTGATAATTATTTCTGACGTTGTTTCATCTTATTTAACCTTTCTATGTTACATTTAATTATTGTGACGAAATAAAAAAGAAAGAAAACATTTTAATGATCATCTCCATGCTCATTATAATCTATTATTAGATGATTCAGATTGAAATGCCTATTTATTTGCTTATATTGTGTTGATACTATGCAACCTTTAATGATTATTATTATTATTAACACTATGCAATTTAGTATTTTATTCATTCTATCATATCATGTCTATTCATTGTTCATATTTCCTTATGAAATTAACCCGTAAAATTTCATGATCTATGCACATGTATGCCCATATGTATACAATTGTATAGTTTGATAATAATAAATTAATATATTTGTATTAGTTCAATGAGTAGAAAAAATGAGATTTTCTGATATTTCGTAACTTAATGTAAATCACTTCTTCAGTGAATAAATCATTAAATCAAAATTAAATAAGAACAATAGGTTCAACGAAGAGTTCTCTTATCGGTGAATTCATTTTCGAAGCTGCACAATCACAAATATGTATACCTATCTTTTTTCAGGATGATAATAATAATAATTATAATAATAATAATAATAAACTTCTGTTGGACATGGTGACATTGAGGTAGAATAAACAAATGTATTAAGAAAATGTTTTTCTGAAAAGGGAAACTAATAATCATTTGATTGTTAAGTGTTTAGATTCTCCTCGAAAGATAGGGAAATTATCATCCGGAAAGGATGGTACAGCATGATAAGATAAAATGTTGAAATTGAGATGAAATGTAATCAGGAGGATCGTAGAAACAGAAATAAACCAGTTGGGTGTAGAAGATTTAAGGAGAAGATAGAAGGGGAAGCAGACAGCCATAAAGGAATAACAGTATGAAAAAAATTATAAGACATGAAATCCATGGTAGAAGAACAGGTTGTACCATTCTCTTTTATGGAAACACATATCAAGAATTGGTCTGAGATGTAAGCCAGGTTCGTGTATTTATGGCAGACCATATAACGGCGGTATAATTTATATTGTTGGTTTTATGTGCTCAAAGATATGTTCATCGATTGATTGATCATTTTTTCATTCTCTTAAGAACTTCAATCAGTTGCTTTTCACTTATTTCAGTCTTGTTTTTCTCATTGATTAGTATAGAGAATTCGGTGTCATCGGATAATAACTTTGTCATTTTTTCGACATAAATCTTTAGGTCTAGCAGCACTAAACTCACACCTTTATCTGAAAGTGTTATAATCAAGTCTTTAGTGTTTCTAAGTAGTTTTAATTGATTACTATCTTTCGATGGAAATTTAAGTCATTACCAATTAAACGATTATTAATTTCCCTGTTCAGAAATTTTTTTTTAATAACTTTGTTTATTCTACCTCACTGTCACCATGTCCAACAGAAGTTTATTATCATTATTATTGTAATTATTATTATCCTGAAAAAAGATAGGTGCATATATTTGTGATTGTGCAGCTTTGAAAATGAATTCACCGAAAAGAGAACTCTTCTCTGAATCAATCTTTCTTATTTAATGTCTTAATGGGTGTATTCCGACTACTAAAAAGAAAATCCACATTAATCCTTTGAAGGAAGGGTTGAATTTGAGTGATAAAATATCAAAAAATGTAATTTTTTCTACTCATTGGAATAATACAGATAATTTTTTTTACATAAAACAATCTACTCAATTACACGGCGAAGGAATATTTGTTGCCAAGGCATGGAAAGATTAATTACCACCAACTTTTGAATACATAACTCAGTTTTTGACGCCTATTAGTAACGGCTTCAAAAAACTTCAGAAGACTAGATTTCGGCTGCTTACTAATCACCTTGAAGGATTGCAAGCTATCGACCTGATGTCCTGTATCAAGGATATGTTTGTTGATTGCACAGTTTAGAGTCTTTCTTTCTCTTGTTCGGAGGCTTTTTGTAACATGTTCAAAAAAATCTAATAAATGCCCTCATTTCGGTTGGATTAATGTAGCTGCTTTGGCAGGTCCATGTAAATTTATCAGTACAGTTGACGGTTACATGAGCTCTACTCAGTTTATTTCTATCATCGTTTACTCACTATATAATCACTCGTTTCTAGCCGTTTAAATTGTTGTCATAATCAATGTTGTAGAATGTTCTTTCACATAAGGTGTATATTTATAATGTTCAGTCTATTAATTTCATTTACATCCTTGCTATACTATACTAATATATCATCATCTAACTTTCCACTAAGCCCTCTCATGTAAGTAATTTAAACCCATTATATAATTAGGATTTTAAGATATCAGAGGTTGTAAACAGCTGATGAGAACCTACTAAATAAAATGAATTTATGCTATTCTACTAGAATCTACCCAATGTTCAATGTATTTAAGATTATCAAATCAAACCTTAGTAATGATACCTACAATGGTATAGTTTGATAATAAATTCATTAAAAAAGAGATAGTTTCTTTGAATTTCATGTTGATTAGTATGAATTGATACATTGAAAGAGAACAGTTATAGATAGATATGATGGTAAATATTATTTCTGAACAACTGAATTACACAACATATAGATCAGATCACTAATGATAAATAGTTCTATTAATGTATATTATTGAGATTTAGTTCTTACTTTTAAATGTCCAAAAATGGAATAATATCATGAATCTTACAAGGAAATAAACCTATTACAATGTTGTGTTGTGATGAGTACTATAATGCTAATGTTAGCCATTTGATGATTTAAATAACTCAGAAGTTAATAAGCTAGAAAAACTACAAAGTGTGTATACTAAGTAGATTACCAAAACATTCACAGGAAAAAATAGAACGACTTGTATTAAAGACGTCTATCCTCGTGATGTTTATTGTCATAATCTGAAGAAATAAAAAAAATCACTAAAATTTATAGGATAATTCTATGATGTGTGCTACTGATGTTGACAGATATAAGTAGTATTTAACAACAAACGAGAGTGTGATGCCTGATGGTAGAAAGTTGAGAAAATCGAAGGGAAGAGAACAAGAACAGAGAGTGATTGGTATGGAAACGATGGAACAATAAAGTTTGATACAAATGATGGGTATTTTGTAAATGAAGTATTTGCTGTATGATTCTCAGATTTTACCAAGATATTCTGTAATGCTATATTAAGATACCTTTGGTTGCCCCCATTGGTGTTCTCGTTCACTACAATTCTATTATGATTTAGCTATAAACTTTACGCGTTTTTGAATAAGTTAGTAATTCAACACTATTCATATTAACAGAAACATCTCGCGGGCGGGATCGTTGATGCGCACTGATGAGGAGTCCCATACTAGGACGAAATGGCCGTTCAATGCTTTCAGGTTTTTCATGGTGGTCTAGCTGTAACTGATTCAACCATTAGATAACTATTCTTTATAACATTTTTCGTAAAATCTGAAGATTAGAATAACTTAAATGTTCTTTTTTTATCATGAAGTAGAATCATTTGAAAATTTACTGTAAAATGGAAACCAGTAATCAGCTCACAACTTTTAGCTTGGGACCTACATCTAGATACACTGACTAAAATACACACAGAATGATACCCTGGTTCCCATCAGTTATTCAGCTGATGTCGATTGTATTCGAAGGTATATTTTAAACTGAAAAAAACAGTAATATTCACGAAATTATTTTCAGTAGTATATATCACATTACACTACTTACCACTTTGACGCCTTAGTAGAGAATTCCTTGGAGGACCTATAATGTTAAAAGAAAGAATAACATAATCTTGTGAATAAATTCTATTAATATATAAAAAATGCATCAGAAAACAGAAATAATAGGATTCCTTAACTTCTCGTGTTCAAAACAGCACCACTGACCACATCATAGTATTTAATCACATTTTTTAATCACCATCGTTATATGTTCTTGTGAGATGAAGGTACATCCAGCTGACTAGTCCCAAATAGGACAAAACGGGTGTCCTGAATTCATTGCTGACCATCATAATTTCTGCATATAATGCTAGTGACTTAAGGCAATCCACACAGTATGCATATGTACCAATGAGAAGATTCAAACGATCAATACGAAAATGAATCGATCATGTAAGTCGTTTGAAAACTACAGGTTTGTTTTCAGCTTTAAGCCTTACTGTTAACATGAGGGATAGTGATCCTATTCAAGCTACTCAAACCCAAATAATTAGTTGAAGACTCTAATCTGCAACCTACTGGGTGTAAACCGACTTTCTTAACAATTAATCAATTGATCCACATCATATTTATGATAAGTGGTGTATTCTAATGTCGTACAGCAATTCCATTTGTTCAGGCGTTTTGTTCTCCAGGCTGAATAACATCGTCAACGCAAACTTCAAGTAGAAATGAAGTGTTTATGCTGGTGATATTTTTTTCAGAAGAGCACTGGAAGCTTCACGACCAAACCAACCAGCTAAAAAAAATTATACCTAAATCATCCACCATCTCAAAATCATATGATTCCATTTATTTAAACAGTGTAATCACATATAGTTGAGATCATGATTCAACTGAAGCTGGATCACCAAGGAAAACTTGGAAGCATTTAACAGCCGTTTCGTCTTAGTATGGGACTCCTCAGCGGTGCGCCTCACGAGATTCGAACCCAGGATCTATCAGTCTCGCGCGCGAGCGCTAAACCATTAGACCACTGTACCGACTGTTGTCCAATGGTGTTAATGTCTAACTTCAACTAATCTATGATGTAATCATTAGTCTAAATATTTTAGCTGTGGAAAATTTGAAAATAACCTTGTATAATAATGTGGGTTGTTTTTTTCAAACACAATGTTCCTTTTATCCAAGTGGATGAAACAAAAAAGCATACTTATGAATAATGATTTAGGCAAAGCTACATTAATTTATTTTATTGAATATTCTGTTTTATCATTAGCTGATAACAGTTTGTAATTTTATAAATGATACTTTATACATACCAACATTTTATTGAAAGGATTACAACAGGTCCAACACAAATGTTAAGATAATTAATGATAATAAGATGTCATAATTAAATAGTTTATTCAATGAGTAAATCAGGAAAATCAATTAAAACTGTAACAATGGGTTGGCGGGCTTATAAACACACCTTTATACTATAAAGTAAATGGATAAACTATGATTATGAACTTCAAGAATAAGCAAATCTTCAAAATGTGATGAGTTCAGATTAATTAGTTGAAATATAAATCATAAGTATTACAAGCAGAGATGAATAGTGGCTAGCATTGGAATCAGGATAAGCGTTTCGTTCTATTTGGGATTTGTCAGTTGGATATTACAACATCTTAGGATTAATGTTCACTCTGGGACTCAAACCTAGTACCGTTTGCTTGAAACGCCATCCAGTTGGCTACTAAGTTTAGATAGGTACTAACATGTTCAACAGGGGGAAGCTTTAAATCATTTTTTTGTATTATTTGTTTTGATCTTCTTATTGGTATATAGTAGTGCAACTTATCAGTCTCTTAAAATACTTGTAAAATTAAAGCAGTATCGAGGTAATTGGCACCGGATGCACACATGTCAGTAAGAGATATCAGTGGGAAGATACAAACAAACGATACAAAGATGAATAAACCATTAGTATAGATACAAAGAGATTTAAACTTTAAAATATGATTTATTAAAATTAGAGTAGTGCCATAGTGTTTTGTTGTCAATGAAACTTGATAAATTCTTTATTCGATCACTTATAGATTTTAATAGTTGAGATCATGAGTCAATTGAAGCTAGATCACCATTGAAAGCCTGGAAGCACTGGACAGACGTTTCATCTTATTGTGGGACTCCTCAGCAGTGCGCATCCACGATCCCGCCTCACGAGATCTGAGCACATGACCTATCAGTCTCGCGCGGGCGCTTAGCCACTGGACCACTGAGCCAGCATCCAACGGTTTTAATGTTTAACTCCAACTAATTCACAAAACTGAGCGACACATTTGACATTGTCTTCAGTGAGTTACTATCTCACACCAGACCTGGTTGAACTCCACTGGTCACTGCTTCGAATCTCGCGAGGCGGGATAGAAAAGGAAATTATAACTAAACTCTTAAAGGTTACACAAACATATTGTATGAATCTAAAAAGTTATCAGACACAAAAATATACGGAATTAGAGTAACAGTAGTTAGTAGCCAAGATAAGCTTGGTAAGCATTTAGTGTATGTAAAATGTACTGGATTCAAGTAGTGGACAATATAAACTTTTGATTCAGAGTGTCAAAGATGAGAAAGAATTGGTAGATTTACAAAATTTCAGTGAACAATCTTAATATAAGCATGTGCGTTAGTCGAGTGATCAAAATCAACCAAATGTTTAGGAACAGACCTTTCAACCTCTTTTGGCTCACCACTATAGAAACAGGTTAAACTATTTTTTTCTTTTTTACATGTTAAAGTGAATACTTATTACAGCTAATGAATATTACTTAATGTAAACTGGTAAGATGAGAAAGCTCGTTTCTAATATGTATAAAGAATAGTTGTTGGCTTTTAGTGGTAAGTTGAAGCTAAGTTGTTTGATTTTAATTCTTCCATTGTTATATTTTTAGCATAGGGAGATTTGTGAAGTTTATAAAACTTTCATAGTTTAAATCACTATCTGCTCTTCGTGATTAAGAGCTTGTATGAGAGATCGTAGATCATTGGTTCGTTTGTCGGATTCAGGGTAGAAGATGCGATTCACTGAGTAGTCCCATATTAAGACGAAACATCCATCCATTACTTCCAGGATTTCAGTGATGGTCTAGATGAGATCACTCAATGATTTAAACTAAGAAAACTATTATTACTACTATGCAAGTTTTCATGTGGTTCAATGCTTGCAATCTGTATATATTTGATTTTGTACATGCAACTAATCATATTCATTCTTCATATTAGAGTCTAAAGATGAATTCGATTATTTTTTATGATCATATGTGCAGTGGATTGATATTTATTCAATGATGTTGTATTATTTTCATGGACTTTTGTTCTTTGAGCTGGATGTTTTGATTGTCCAGCTCAAAGAACAAAACTCCATCAAAATCATCCAACTGAGCTACAAATCTTTTCCACCATCTCAAAATGTTGTATTATTGAATGTATGGGATATTGATTGGTCAACTTTTTTAAATACAACTACAAGGAAATCCGGTTATTTTAAAAGGATATATGACATCAACATCTTGAAGACTTAAAAAATGTTTTAGAAAAGAGAAGCTTTGCATGTTTTCGACACAAAAAACACACCTTTTATTTACATTTATTTACGTTTCAATCAAAAAATTCAGCATATTCGTGTATTGTCTATATATTTCCGTTCTAATGTATTTTGTTTTAGCCAGAAAAAAAAACAGTTTTCGACGTTATATTTTCCTGTAACAAACAGAGAATCCGTAGACAAATTTACTCTGAAACCTATTTTGTTTTTTCTTCATAGAGTTATCATGATAAGATTGAATAAGTCTTTATTTAACGTAGACAAATGATTCTAGATTGTTCTCAGTATACGCTTTCAGATGTTATAAATTCTGGTTTGATTTAAGAAACAGTGTGGAGTTGAATTACGCTTTTGTCCCACTTGAGATTCATCAACCATTTGTACCTGTATCCTAGTATTAATGTTTACTTTAGGATTTTAATACACTATCTTTTACTTTAAACACATAACGCATTATTCACTTTGCTAATGAGTTCAGATAACACATAAATGTTCAACTGGTATGATTCTTTAATTTGCTTTATAATGTTTTGGATTTTCTCGATAAATTATTAAAATTCAGTCAACAACGTGATTATGGTGTATGCTACTGATATCAACAGATATAAGTAGTATGTATCATCAATAGAAAGCCACATACCTGGCGGTAGAAGGTTAAGAAGATCAAAGAAAAAAAGAACGAGAACAAAGAATGATTGATATGGAAACGAGACAACAATCAAGTCAGTGACGATCGATTGACGTTTTGCAAATGACGTATTTACTATATGGTTCTTAGATTTTATTAAGACGTTCTGTATTGAATACATTCGATTGTTCCAACTAATGTTCCCATTCACTATAAGAATCTAAATCATTTCTAATTTAATTATAATTTGATGATTTCAGTTGTTGTTTACATTCGATTTGTACCATTTGTACCGTGAAATTCTGGTCTAGAAATTTATTTATCCATTTGTATTCATTAATAACATAATTTACATTGTTATCTATGAATTAACAACATCTGAAGTGTAGTCTAGTTTAAATCTGTATTAGCTCATGAAGATAAATATGATATTAAGATGCATACTTTAAATCTAAACAACTGAAAAGCAGCAAGAAACAAGAAAATATATCTAAGAACATGAAAATAAGATTTCAAAAAAAAGATTATAGCTATTTTGGTTGCCATGTAACTTTCCCCTACAAAGTTCAGCTCAATTACTACTCACTTCATAAGTTGATACTCTATTATTGTTTGAGCATATTTAAACTATCAAAGTAACTCAAGGTGGTCTATAATTTATTCATTTATTTATTTGAACACATAAATATTGGTACAAGAGGGCACCAAATATATATGCGCCACAAAAAACAATGAGAATTCGAAGAGAAAGAAAAAAAGGACAGTAACGAATAGATTAGTGTAAGGTGATGTAATAATAATAATAATAATAACAATAATAATAATAATAATGGTAATAATGGGGGAAACGGAAAGGTACAACCAGAAGAAATCTTTCAGTTAAGGAAGATACAACCATATTTTTTATGAAGAAAGTAAAAGACGTTTACAGCAGGATCGCCACTGGCTCCTATTCTGAGCCATATCTGATAACGTCTCTGGCCATTGTGTCGCACCATCTCTAGGACCTCAGCCAGGGAGTTGAGAAGGACCAACAGAAGCCAGTCCTTTGCAGCTTTCTTTCATACCACGACACCATGTCATACACTGAATACCTCTCCGCTTTTTCCAACCAATTCTAGTGTCGGTAAGTAGTGCACGACGTGGAAATCTCTGGGACGACATTCGTAGGACATGTCCAGGCCACCGAAGTCGGTGTTTCAAGATGGCGACACAAATTAATATTATTTAATGGTAACATTAAAACCGCGTAATTAAATACCAGATGATATGCAGTATTTAACATGTTCATTTCTCAACCGATCGAAAAGTATGTGATTAAGCATAAGTTGGAAAGATAACTGAGTAAATTCACTAAAAAAATTCTTGCGAAACATTGCTCGATGTTAGCTGTATGTCCCGTCTGAATTAATTAAATGAGTTAAAATGGAACTGTTAACCGTTTTAACTACACAACATTGAGAGGTACTCACGAGCTTGATGAATTGCCTAGACTAGCCACTTCTTTTTCTCTATCTATCAATTCAACTGTGGAGCAAGTTATATTGGAAAATAGTCTAGGAATTTGTATATTCAAGCTCATTATATTTCAGCGTTTATAAGTTGACTGACAAATCCTTTCTCATCTAATTCTTTAAAGTAATGATGTCAGTCAGTCAGTCAGTTAGCTACAACGTAGGATCAGGCACATAAATGCATCGGTCCAAGTTGGCATATTTCATTAGCACAGCAAGATGAACACAATATAATGATGATATTAAAGTGATGAAATGTAATTATCCACACAAACGTTCTTTATATTTGATTAGTCTATAAGGTTATTTTAGTATAAATATTCATAAAGTGTTAAAATAAACATATTTAAGGTTCATGATTCAGTTAATTATTTTTCGAAGAAGTTTGATCAACGCTTTATTTTCCCATATGGACACAAATCTGAAATGTTCCAGTCCTTTTACATAACATAGTATCATTTAGTTTTTCTTAGTTTAATGTGAAAATGTATCATTTCTGTGTAGTGAGATCCAACTGGGTAACTATGAGGCTTTGGAAAAATGTTGATAGGATGAAATTGTACATTTCCATTTGTTTTTTTTTGTAATAAGTTAAACATTACATTGTTTTGTATTCATATTGAATTAAGAATTAAAGTCACAAACATCTGGTAGATGAGAACTTAGGAAAAATGTATCCAAAATTCAAATCAGTTTGAAAACGGTCAGGATAGAATAATCTATGAAATTATTAATTACAAAAAAGAACAGATTTTCTTTACAGATATATATATATATATCCTGAAGGGAAATAGAAAAGATGAAGGTCGGAGAAGACCCTACGTCGGAAATCGGAAGCAGACATGAAAAGGATGAATAGCAACTGGAAAGAAATTGAAAGGATTGACGAGGATAGGATTGAATGGAGAGTGCTGGTGGGTGGCCTATTCTCCTGAATCAGGGGTAACAGCCGTAAGTAATTAAACAATATTGCGTATACATCTTTAAAAGCGAAAATGGTTTAGCTTGAACATTGAGACGATGAAGAAGATTTATACTCAGGCGGATGGTTTTAATAGTTTTCCTCTCTGAACTGGATGGTTTGGTCGTAGAGCCTTCATCGTTCTTCTAAACGTCATCAGCACAAACTTCAGGTAGAAGTGAAGTGTTTAAATTCCTCTACATATGGCTCACAGTTTGTAAATAATGACAGGTTAAAAGTCAATAATAACCAATCAAGATCGAGGTGTACAGGACAAGTTGTGAGCAATCTGTGAAGAAATTCAAACATTTCACTTCTACCTGAAGTTTGTGCTGATGATGTCATACAGAAGAACGATGAAAGCTCTACGACCAAACCATCCAGCTCAGAGGACAAAATCAGGTGAACATTCATTATAATTTCTTAAAGACTAAATCTATAATATTGATAATTATTATTTCTATGATATATTTTAGGTATTTCGCCTTTAAATGGATGTAAATATAGAAACTTGGAATACTATTAACAATTAGTAGAGCTGATATCTTAAATGTACATTAACCTTTAAGTAATTGGAATTCAGTGGATAAAAATTACAATCAATTCATACAAATTAGTGAATTCAGATAATTTTGTTGCCAATCAATATTTTGTGTAGTTAGGTGATTTATCTATGAATAAATGTCACCGCGGATATTAATTTATCAGGAGCTTTTCCTCCTAACTATAACTTTACATGGAATGGAACTTAAGACTTAAAAATCTCTCTTCTTGAGCCTATATACACATGTCGTCAATCCTCGTGTATAATTATCGACGTAAATTGAGTGAGTAAATAAAAGAATTAAATAAGCGAAATACAAAAATGGATTTTTGAATGCGTATATTTTGTACACTCATAGATTTGAACAGACAATCAGAAGAATGAAGTGAAGAAAAAAGAGCGAAGCAAAATGACGTTCAATGAAGATGGCATGTGAACCAAATCGATTTAACCAAGAGTGAATCCATATTGATAGCCAAACAAAATAAGTTACAGTCATGTAATGAGTAGAATAAGAAGTAAACACACACACATACGCTCACATAAAAACAGTCAAAGTTGATAAGTGACTAAATGACAAGATCAAAATGTTACTCGAGTAGAATGAATAGTTTGGTCTGTTCTGAAGTTAGAATAAGTAATATGAGCTTAACATAGTAGCCGACACTACAATCGATTTACTCTCACATAAAAACAGTCAAAGATGATAAGTGAACAAGTGACAAGGTCAAAATGTAGCTTGAGAAGAATGAATAGATTGATCTGTCCAAAAGCTAGAATAAATTATTATGGACTTAACATAGTAACCGATACTACAACCTAGAATTTAATTTTTTTTTTCTTGAAAATTAAATCATACACATAACTTACCATCTACATCAAATCGAACTGATGAAGGAACTTGTGTATCACTTAGTCTACGAGCTAATTTATTTGCAAGTGATGTTAATACTGAAGCCATTAATCAAGAAATAGTAAACAGTTTGTTTTTTTCAAAGTGTTATTTTAGAGTATGTATAGAAATAATATAAAAATATGTTCAATTGATTATAGTTCCACAAATGTATACAGAACAAATGATGATAATCATTATTTTGTTTCAATATTACATTAGACAATATTAATGAATAACAATTTGTGACTTATTTTCTTATTTATATATATATTAGTAAACATCCCATCCTTTTCTGATTGGTTCATAAATTCAATGACCTTAAATCAACCAATTAGATTTATGGATGAAACGTTTAAATTATTTTAAATAAGGTATGATGAGTCAATGCTCAAGGTTAATTTATGATTCATTAATTGATTATTAATTTACTTTAGACATGTGTGAATAATAAACAAATCAGCCATTATGATAGTTTTGATCTTTGAAACTTAATAGTTTAGATTATTCATTTGTGAATAGAATTATATAATGTAAATTATTAAAGAAATTACTGATTCACCTTATAGTTTATTTTTTTATTTATTGAGATCATGAATTAATTGATGTTAGACCACCACAATTGAAAACCTGGAAGCACTGGACGGCCGTTTCGTCCTATTGCGGGACCCCTCAGCAGTGCGCATCCACGATCCCGCACCCCGCGGGATTCGAACCCAGGGCCTTCGGTCTCGCGCGCGAACGCTTAACCAACTGGACCACTGAGCCGGTATCCAATGGTGATAGTTTCTAACATCAACCAATCCACGAAATTGCGCGACCAACTTCCGTTGTACTGAGGTAGATACCTGTCTCTACCCGACAAGGATTAGCTCCACTGGTCACGGCTTCTCACTAGAACTCCGAGAATTCCCTCACGAAGCTAGTTACTAGTGAGCACATGTTGATTACTAGTATAGGGGTTGTGGAGATTATTAAGTTTTTGATTGAGATCATGAACCGATTGATGTTAGACCACCACAATTGAAAACCTGGAAACACTGGACGGCCGTTTCGTCCTATTGTGGGACTCCTCAGCAGTGCGCATCCAAGATCCCGCTCGCTGGTTTACTGTTACTTTTCTTCATTGAAATTGAGAATAATTGACAGTATGGATTTCTGATTGAGACCATGAATGGATTGATGTTAGACTACTATTGAAAACCTGAGAGCACTGGAAGACTGTTTCGTCCTATTATAGGACTTCTCAGTAGTAATTTCCAGATTTTCAATGTTGATCCAAGATGAATCGAATTATGATCTCAATTAAAAACTTCATAATCTCTACAACTCCATACTGATAAGTATGAGTTCAATTGAGATATGTGAACGAAGAATACTCTGTAAAATTCATAAGTTAATCTAAGCTAGATTTTTTCTTGATTGATAATTTTTAACAATGAATGGACGAATTAAAGTTATATATCTAATCAGTTAGCAAGTTAAAATTTACGGTCAATAATTCCATAAATAATATAGTGAATTAAACAAAGATGAATGCTGGTTAGCAGTGGAATTCAGGACACGTGTTTCATCCTATTTGTAACTCGTCAACTAGATGTACCTGCATCTCAGAGTTGATGTTCACTTTGAGACTCGAACCCTGTACCGTTCACTTCAATCGCCATGATGTTATTCACTTAGCTACTGAGTCTTGATACCCACCTGCTTGTTCAATGAGGTGAAGTTTTAATTGATTTGGTATTGTTTACTTGAAGTTTCGCATTAAATAATTTCAGAGAATTTCATTTCAAATTTCTTTTTATCTTTGGTATATACTACTTATATCTTTCACCATAAGTATTATGTTAACACTCATCAGGAGTGAAATACCTGACAGCAGAAGGCTAAGTAATTCTAGTTGAAGAAAACAGAAAAAGAATTAGAAAGGAATTATGAAGTGGAAGAATCATACAGAATGTAAAGGACAATTGGTAGAAAATTTGCAAATGAAGTATTTCATATACGATTTTCACAATTTGCTTTACCCCCACTTAGATTCATATTCATTGCATACCAATTGTAAATATACACTAAGCGATGATCGTAATTTTTACTTTGAATTAATATAAATGAATTGAATTAAATGTTTGGTAGACCAGGACAAAAACATGTTGTTATAAAGATTCAAGAACTTGTTTTCATAACTCAGTAGTACATTGAATAGTGTCTGTTAATTGCTCATTATATAAGCTTAATCATTATGTGAACATTATAAAAAATAAACTACCCCCCGAAAAAATTGTTTTTGACCTATTTAGAATAACAATTCACCAAAAACCATAGAGGTAAATTCACAAATCTCAGTGTTGCTATGCTTAAAGTACGATCGGAAAAAAATTGATTTTCAATTCTATCAAGTATTTTATTTTAAACTTATGGAACTCAAAACAACTTTCAACCAATATCAAAGTGAGAATCTTCAATACGAACATCAATACAGTTCTACTGTATGAAGCTGAAACTTGGAGAACTACTAAAACCATCATCAAGATGCCACAAGTATTTATAAATAGTTGTCTACGCAAGATATTCAACATCCATTGACCGGATACCATGAGCAACAATCTTCTGTGGGAGAGAACAAACCAGCTTCCAGCTGAAGAGGAAATTAGGAAAAGACGATGGAAATGGATAGGACATACATTACGCAAATCGTCAAACTGCATCACGAGACAAGCCCTAACTTGGTATCCTGAGGGAAGGCGGAAAAGAGGAAGGCCTAAGAACACATTACGTTGGGAAATAGAATCAGATATGCAAAGGATGAATAACAATTGGAAAGAGCTGGAAAGGACTGCTTAGGACAGTGTTGGATGGCGAGTGCTAGTGAGCGGCCTATGCTCCCGGACGAGGAGTAACAAGCCTAAGTAATCTAATTCCAAAACAACCTGTAATATTTTTTCAAAAGTACAAAATTATTTTCTGGCACTTTCTGCTACTCAATTCATTATTTCATTGCAATTACCATTTACAGATTATTGAATTTTTGAGAGAAAAAAAACAGTTTTCAGTGGCTCAGGATCTGACTTCGATTGGATTGTATGAATGATTGTTATTGATAATATACATATCATTAATCCTCGTATAAAATTATCGACTTAAATCGCACTAGTGAATAACGGAATTAAATAAGTCGAATACAATGGTTAATCGAAAGTGACAATCGGAGAGACGTAGCGAAGGAAGTGAAGAAGAGAGTGTGAAATGAGACGGAGCGCAGTCGAGAAGGCGTATGAGCCAACTCAATTTAATTAAGCATGAATCAACATTTATAATCAGACAAAAGTAAGTTACAGACACATTATGAATAGGGTAATTAATTAACACACATACACTCAAATAAAAACAGTCACAGTTAATAAGCGAATAAGTGACAAATTCAAAATATGGCTTAAGAAAAATGAATAAATTGATCTGTCCAGAAGCTAGAATAACCCATTTGAGCTTGACATAGCAACTGATACTATAATAATTTTTTTACTATTATTAGCTTTATTCAATATTATATTTTCGGTAGAATATAGAATTCTTAGCGCAAACTATTTCAACAAGTTTCTGTTTCTTATTTCTTGATCGATCATGACGATTACATATTGAGTGATCGCAAATTAGATGTTAACAGTTTAGGAATCGACATCTGAATAATGTCCATTCTTTTCGATGTATATTGCCAGCAACTATAATGTCTTTGATTGGGCTCTTTCCTAACTTATGCAGTAAACTTTTCATAAATGCGCCTGAATCGGTTGTGCAATTAATCAATACAATGATGTATTAAAACAAACAAGAAAACAGATAACATGTTGAAATAACTAGATGGCAGAAGATTTTGGAAACAATTTATGACCGATTTAAATTAAGTTCTGATTTTAAAGCTTTGTTTGAGATCTTTAAGCAATAGAATATAATGTTTCATAAAATGAATGACAAGTAATATAATGAAATTGGTACTTGATTTGAGTCTTGAAGTGAACATCAACTCTGAGATACAGGTACATCCATCTGACGAGTCGCAAACATGATGAGATGCATGTCATAGATTCCATTGCTAGCCACTATCCATCTTTGTTTATAATACTTGTGAATTAAGATAATATCGAGACAGTACGCACAGTATGTATATATGGTAATAAGAGACTGATCAATTGCAGTCCTAAATATCAATCGGACGATTCAAGTAAACAATACTTAATGAATTTAATGTATATGTATGTTATTTGATTGATAGTGATAGGATGAAAGCCAGAATGTACATTTCGTGCTAGGTAACACGTTTCCAATCTTTTGAAGAATACAAAATGTTCACAGTTTAGAGATTATATTATTCGGTAGTCAGTTTTTGAAAACTAATCAGTCCCACAAATGTTGAGTTAGAACTGGAATATCTGACTAGTAGAATTACTGATTGTAGCATAACTTCAAATACAAATCAATCACTGCTTCCCTTAGGACTATACATACGCTCTTATGATGGATATCAACTAACATTAAAACATCCATCCAGAGTCAACTATATACTGACATTTAAGTTATTTTGATTAACAACGATACTATAATTATCAGAATGGGTTTTGTGGAGCTTTTTAGAAATTTCACTGGTTGAAATCATGAGTCAAATGAAACTAGATCACCATGGAGAACCTGGAAGCACTGAACGGCCGTTTCGTCCTAGCAGTGCACATCCGCGATCCCACACCCCGCGAGGTTCGAACCCAGGACCTATCAGTCTTGTGCAGGGCGCTTAACCAACTAGTCCACTGAGCCGGCATCCAACGGTGTTAGTGTCTAACTTCAACCAATCCACGAATTTGCTCCACCGTACACCATTGTCTTCAGTGAGTTGATATTTCACAACAGACCTGGTTGAAATCCACTGGTAACGGCTTCTCACTAGAACTGCAGAAGTATCTCTTGAAGTCAGTCACTAGTGAGCAGACTGATGTGTCCTGGGTTGGAATCTCGCGGGGTGCGCGATCGTGGATGCGAACTGCTGAGGAGTCCCATACTAAAACGAAACGGCCGTCCAGTGCTTCCAGGTTTTCCATGGTAGTCTACCTCCAATTGACTCATGATTTCAACGATACTATAAGTTGGTCAACAAAATTCAAATATCGTTAAGGTCTAAACAATGTAACATTGCTTAATACTAGATGATCAATTAGTAACAGGTATCTACATCAACTAAGATTACACAAACTATGTACCTTT